GGGGCAGCAGATGATGAGGTTTATGCATTGGATCCTTGATGATACTCGTAAAGAGTTTGTCACACATGTCCTCTCTTCTTTGAAATAGAGTAGGCAGTCTATAATACTCAAGGGCCTCACAATATGTCATTTCAGGAGATAAATTTTTTAGCACACGTTTCTGGACAGTCTCAAGTTCGTCTGCCAAATACTTTGGGATGGAATGATGGAAGGCTTGCGCACAATACTCGAGCACAGGCCTGATCACTGTACAATAAAAGTTCAAGACATCATTGACATTTACGCTTGCCCGTTTCAATAGTACTATAAAATAGAGGCGTTTATTAGCTTTCTTTATACTCTCTCTGATGTTATCTTTCCACTGAAGTGTGCCTGTCATAACAAGACCCAATAATTTTGCACTCTCAACTATAGGCAATGCTTCTCCACCCACCAGTACAGGATCAAAAGGTTGTTTAATTTTTTTAAAATCGATTCTCAGTTCTTTACATTTCTCAGTGTTAAGAGATAGCCCATTTGCCTTCGACCAATCTTCCACAACATCAACTGCGACTTGAACACGGCTCTCTGTGTCCTTACTAACTACTTCAGCAACTGTTGTGTCATCAACAAACTTCCACCTCGATATATTACAAATATCAAGATCGTTTATCATTAAACAAAATAGCCAGGGCCCTAATTTTGTACCTTGAGGGATACCGGAAAGTACATCTCCCCACTCCGAATAACAGTCATTGGATAATTTCACTCTCTGCTTTCGATTCATCAAAAAAGCGATTGTCCAGCGAGCAACCGCACGTGGAATAGCTAAATTGGAAATTTTATCAGCCAGTAAAGCATGATCGATAAGGTCGAATGCTTTTCTATAATCGAACAGGATGACTCTGACAGCAGAGCCAGTGCCATCAGTAACTTGCGACCATTCATGGATCATAGATATAACAGCGAGAGTAGTTGAACTTCTTGGTATTACTCCATATTGACTTGGATCGATTATACTCATGATAGCTGGAGCAATGTATTTTTTAACAACACAGTCCTCAGCGATTTTCGAAATAGCGGCAGCAAGTGAAATTGGTCGTAACTGCTTACAAATGTCGCTAACGGGCTTAGTTTTTATGAGGGGCACAATGTTGGCAAGCTTCCAAGATTTAGGTAGTTGTTGTTCGGCATAGCTGCTGTTTAGCACAGCGCATACTGGCTGTGCGAGGATTTCAGCATATTCCTTAAGAGCCCAATTGGGAATTTCGTCAGGACCTCACTCCTTTCCACGATTAATTGCTTTCAATAAATGAAAGACTTCCAGTACGTTTACTTGAAAAGAGGAATAATTATCAAAGGGGGGAAGGGTTGACAGTGGATTGAAGGAGTTCATGGGCTCCAAAAAGGCGTTATTAATTAAATTCGCAATGTCAGGACGTTGCATATTCTCGATATCGTCTAAATGAAGTTGACTACATAGGTCATCGGAGCCGGTTGTAGGTACCATACCAGCAATCTGTTTCACCTCCTTCCACCATCTCTTCGGTTTGGTCGATTTAAGATTCTTTACTTTTGAAGAGTAGAATTTCGCCCGGCATGTCTTTCGCTCGCGGTTAACCCGATTCCGGTAATACTTGAACTGAAAGGGATTTCCACTGCAGAAGGCAGCTTGACGCTTCCTTATAAGCTCTTTAAATTCTGCAGTAATCCATGGAGGATCGTGTACATGCAAAGCCGTTTTCTTTATTGGCATAATGGTGCTAATACCGAGACGTACTAACTCTTCGAAATACTGGAGTTTCATTTCGCATGTGTCAAAATGATTCAGAGAGGACCAATCGATAGATGTAAGGTATCTTCCAAGCTCATGCCTTTTACTAGATCGTAAATCTCTACTAGAGATAATTCTTCTACTGCATGACTTGGGTTCTCTTTTGCAAGGATTGACAATCACAACATTATGATCTGAAAGACCAAATGGCGGAAATTTTTCGACAGAGTTCTTATCATAAAACGAATGTAAGTTGGTTATTATTAGATCCAAAGTCTGGTTGGCCCTTGTGGAAACGTTAACAATCTGTTTGCAACTGAACTGTGTTAATATCCGATTGCATTTTAACCGATTAAAGTCGCCTGCAAGAATAAACCCGCAGCCAGGATAAGTGCTTTCAATAGTAATCAGTGATGTGGAGAGAAATTGGAGCATTTCATCATCATTAGCATTAGGTGGATGGTAAACGACACCAAACCACACGGTGCATGAGTCATTTGAAAGAAACGTATCTTTTGAGAAGGGTAGATATCACGTTAAATTACCCTTGAAAGAAAAACATGATATTTTACCGGACAATTATGATTTAAGTCTAGCACGATTAGACTCGCAAGTGAAACGTTTAAGGCAAGAACCCAGTCTATTTGAGGAATACAACCAGATATTTAAAGAACAATTAAGTCAAGGAATTGTTGAAAAAGTTGAAGATCAAAATGAAGACTCAGTACCAGGCACTACACACTATCTCCCACACCAAGCCGTGGTACGAAAAGATGCAACCACTACAAAGGTGCGAGTTGTTTACGATGCCAGTGCGAAAGTTAAACCAAAGTGCCCATCTCTGAATGATTGCGTTCACACAGGACCATCTCTGGCTACAGATATTCTAAAGGTTCTTTTGGGTTTTCGAGGACGAAGAATTGGAATGGTTGCAGATATTGAGAAGGCATTTCTCAATATTGCTATTGATGAGGAACAAAAGGACATGATGCGTTTCTTGTGGATTGATGACATAAACAAGGAAAATCCATATGTTGAAGTCTACCGCTTCTGTAGGGTTATTTTTGGCATGAAGTGCTCTCCATTTCTCCTGAACGCAACATTACGTCACCACATTACGAATTACTATTATGATGACCCTAGCTTTGCAGAAAGGATTCTTTCAGAGCTTTACGTTGATGATTGGTCAGGAGGAGGAGAATCCACAGATGATGCATATATAATGTATCGACAGATGAAATCTTGTTTCGCAGCGGGCAATTTTAATCTGCGGAAATGGGCTACCAATAGTCCAGTATTGATGGCTCAGATTCAGAATGATGAGGAAGTATTAAAGTCACTAACCACAGAGCATTTGAACAACACCGGTGAAAGTTCATATGCTAAAGAGTCGATTGGCGGGCTGGAAGAAATAGAAACCCCGAAGGAACATAAGGTACTTGGGATGAATTGGGATACTGACAGTGATACTTTTGTTTTAAAGTTAACAAAAGTTGTTCAATTTGCAAGAAATTTAGAGCCGTCAAAACGGAATGTTTTAAAGATAGCAGCAAAACTGTTTGATCCACTCGGACTTCGCTCGTCAGTTACTGTCTTGCTGAGAATGCTTCTACAAGAATTGTGTGCAGCTAAGTATGAATGGGATGCAGTCATATCACAATCCAATCAGAAGGTGCTCGAGAAATGGATTGATGATTTAGAGACGGTGAGTTCTATAGTTGTACCTAGATATTACTTTTTGGCAGAGGAGAGGCATCCTGAAAGTGTGACTCTTCACGGATTTGGAGATGCTTCCCAAAAAGCTTGTTGTGCTGTCATTTATATATGCATGGAAACAGACAGTGGCCGCACAACAAATCTTGTTGCCTCGAAAAGTAGAGTCACCCCATTAGCACCAATGTCTATCCCTCGACTTCAGTTAATAGCAGCATTGATATTAGCACGTCTCATGTCAGTTGTTAAAGAGACTCTAAGCAAAATCTTTAACATCACGGAGACCACTTGTTGGACGGACAGCTCCACTGTCCTTCACTGGATTAAGGGTAAGAAGGATTATAAACAATTTGTACAAAACAGAATCGACGAAATTCTACGATTAACTGATTCAGAAACTTGGAGATTTTGCCCAGGTTTAGAAAACCCAGCGAATATTGGTTCTCGTGGACAGAAGGCCTCAGAACTAGCACAAAATGATTTATGGTGGAAAGGCCCGCAATGGTTAACACTTGATCCCTCTGCATACCCAAATCGTGAGTTTTCACAAAGTGATGTAGAACTCTCCGAAGAGTGCATGAAAGAATGTCGCGTTAAATTACCTACCAAGGGGAATACCACAGTGGTTAATGTGACAAATGTTAGTGAAACACATCCACCAGAAACAGTCGGTTCAACAAAAATCTCAGAGATAATAGACCACAAGTCTTACAGTAGCGTAACCAAGTTGTTTCGTGTTACAGCGTGGGTTAAGAGATTCATTAGAAATCTCAAAACGAAGAAAGCCTGTGGTAAAATTGATCCATTGTTAAAGCCAAATACACTCACTATTGAGGAAATTGATGATGCAGAGAAAATTTGGATCAGAGAAATACAGGAACATGTGAAGAAACAGAAGAATTACCAAGATCTGACCAACCAACTCGGACTTTATGCCGATGAAGATCACATTATCAGATGTAAAGGAAGAATGGAAAATGCATCTACTGACGTGGAAACAAGGAGCCCAATTCTCTTGCCGAGAGATCACAGCATTTCTCAATTGATCGTGGAGTCCTGTCACAAGAAAGTCAAACATGGAGGAATAAAAGAGACACTAACAGAGTTAAGGAGTAAATATTGGATTCCAAAAGGTCGTCAATTGGTGAGATACATTCTTAACCGATGTGTAAAGTGTAGGAAAGTCCATAGTGTACCATTTAAACCGGTTAAACAAGCCAGTTTACCAGAACATAGAGTCAAGGGAACAGCAGCCTTTACACATGTGGGGGTCGATTTTGCTGGACCTTTGTTTGTAAAAACTAGCGACCCTAAAAAGCAGATGAAGAAGACATATATATGTCTATTCACATGTTCTACCTCAAGAGCTCTACATTTGGAACTTGTACATGACTTATCAACTACAGCTTTTATTCGATGTTTAAGACGTTTTATAGCAAGGAGAGGAACTCCAGTATCCATTACATCGGATAACGCTAAGACCTTTAAAAAGGCAGATAAGGAACTTGCGGAATTGTTCAAAGATAAGAAACTGGAAGAGTTCTTGACAACTGTTAGGATCAAATGGAACTTCATATTGGAACGTGCCCCATGGTGGGGTGGATACTATGAACGTATGGTACAGTTAGTTAAGAGGAGTCTACGTAAAATACTCGGAAATGCGAGATTAACATTTGAAGAGTTAACAACGGTGTTGACAGAAGTTGAGGGATCACTCAATTCTCGCCCATTGACTTACGTATATTCGGAATTGTCTGATGGAGAACCATTGACACCATCACATCTCGTAATCGGAAGGCGGATATCAACATTACCAGATCCAGAGGAATTTAGTGACAGTGAGGAAGATAGTAATGCAATTGTACGGAGACAACGATACTTGAGTCAATTGTTGCAGCACTTCTGGAAGAGATGGAACAAGGAGTACTTAGCTGATCTACGGAAATTTCATCGAAATATTACATATACCAACAATACGGTTCGGGAAGTAGAAGTTGGGGAAGTAGTTCTTGTGCAAGGAGAAGGTCTACCTAGGAGTCAATGGAAGATCGGTAGAGTTGAAGCTTTGCTTAAAAGTAAAGACGGTGAAGTACGAGGTGTAAAGTTACGAGCGTTGAATAAGAAAGGGAAACCAATCGTATTACGACGTCCAATTCAAAAACTTGTGCCATTAGAGATCAAGGAAGAAAGAAAGAAAAAACGAGGACAGTAAGGAGTCAAAACAAGATGCAGACATTCAGAACGAAGAAAAACCAACAAGACAAAGGAGAATAGCGGCAATAAACGCAGACTTGAAAAGACAGTCCATGATTGACCAGTTGTGACTGGTCAAGGGGGGAGTGTGAGATATTGTTTATTAATAGACATTTATAAATAGGACATTACGCACGCGTCATAGGGGCGTGGACTATAAGACAATAGGTTGTTGTTTTGGGGATTTTTACGTTGAAGAATCGAACTAATGAACTAGAGTCTAGATTCGAATTGATATTAATGAGAAAGTCTTACTACGGAATATAATACATCTAATTGAGCAGTCTAAAATATATTACACTGCGTGTGATGCACATATGTTAGGATTGGCGCGAGCGCGCTTTCTCTAAAAAAATCAGAAAATCGCGTACAAGATGGCAACAAAAAAATATAAATAATCAGACGAGGAAACAAAGGATTTAAATGCTAAGTAATTATGTTCCGTTATTTAAAAGTTGAAATATTATTTAATAATAATAATTTAATAAAAATACCGATTTGTAACCTATTAGGTTAAATTACATCAGTAAGAAGTCTCATTATACTACAATAGAATATCTAGATGCATAAAATTATTCATAACTTCAGTTGAAAAAGTTATAGAGTTCAAATTTAAAAATATTAAAAATATTAAAATTATGGTCTATTCATATGTGAAACCATCTGTGGGAAAAACGATTTCATAAATCTGTCCGTTTTACAACTATAGTTATTATAATCGCTTCCATAACGTGTATTATAGTTATGTTCAAGTTTAGGCGGTAAGAGGTCACCCAATTTGTCTCCATGTGCATTTTTAACAAAAAAACGTTCGCATAATAATCGCCGCCGATCTTTCAGTAAGGGTATACCAGTAATACTGCAAGCTTCTCTATAAGTAGCGAATGGCAAGACAATACGCAGAGCCCGCTTCTGGAGTTTTTCGATATCTTCACTTAGGTATTCTGTAATATTGAAGTGCCAAACTTGGCAGGCATATTCGAGTACTAGTCTGATAATGGTGCAGTATACCAAAATTAGAATGCTATTGTCGGCATTTGATCGTTTTAACAACCTTAGCATATAAAGGCGTTTTCCCGCTTTTTTAACAATATGGTTCACATGCTCGTTCCATTTCAAATCATCTTGGATTGAGAGACCAAGAATTCGGGCAGATTTTACCCGTTCAATACCAACGTTATTTATAGTTAACGGTAAAAACTCATGTTTTTCTCTTGCAAAGTCAATTACCATTTCCTTACATTTGCCGATGTTGAGCTTCATATTATTAACTTCACACCAATTATAGATAACATTCACTAGATCTTGTAGTTCACTACTCTCAGTTGATGTAACTCGTTCAGCAAACGTACTGTCATCAACATACTTCCATCTATCGCTCCAATCAATAAGAAGATCATTTATCATAACAAGGAACAAAGCCGGCCCTAACACCGACCCTTGCGGCACTCCACCGTTTAACGTTTGCCAGTCCGAATGACAGTTAGCCAACTTGACTCGTTGTTTACGATCAGAGAGAAAACTTCTAATCCAATTTATAATGGTTTGGGAAACACTCATTTGTTGTAGCTTATTCACCAGTATGTTGTGATCTATTCGATCAAAAGCTTTTTCAAAATCAAGCAAGAATACTCTCACCGCATTGCTTGAAGCATCTGTAGCACTCAGGAGGTGATGGATCAGGCTCAGTAGGGCATGGGTAGCCGAGGAATTTTTAACGGAGCCAAACTGCCGCGTATCAATCTTTGCACCAATTGACTTAAGTAACCAGTCTGTAACAAACCGTTCGCAAATTTTGGATAAAGTGGGGGTAAGTGAGATAGGGCGCAAATCTTTAGAAATGTCTTTAGGGACTGATTTTTTTGGAACAGGGATAACGTTCGCTTTTTTCCACATTGAGGGTACAACTGCTTCTTGAATCGAAGCGTTGAAAATCGATGCCACAGGGGAAGAAAGAACGTATGCATAAGATTTAAGCACCCAATTAGGTATTCCATCAGGACCAGGTGATTTGGAAACGGGGATGGCGGACAATTTACAGTATACATCTTTTTCTTCGATAATAAACTGTGGAAGGATACTTGTACTGCCATTTTCAATTAGGTCATCAACTGGAGACTTATTCAAGGGAGGAATATCTTGGGTAGATGAGACAAAAACATCATTGATTTTATCTGCTAACTCTTTACCAGCAAAAACCTGGTTGTTTACAACGAAATTAAAGAATGTTTTGTTCTTGGCGAAACCCGCAAGCTGTTTTATACATTGCCACCATTTTTTAGCATTGGGGTTTAGTTTTAACTCATCCATCTTTTTCTTAAGGAAGGTTGACTTGAGTCTCTTACTTTCTCTATTGGCAAGATTTCTCAATCTACGATATAGCGGACTTTTGCCCTGACGAAACGCTCTTTGTCTATTTTCTATAATTTTCTTAAATCCGACTGTAACCCATGGTTTATCATGATCGTGCAACTTTACAATTTTACTAGGGAAAAAACAGTCCAAACCAGTATTTATAACTGTTTGAAAAAAATCTAACTTTTGTTCACATGATTCAGCGCGGTACAAGTTGTTCCAGTTTATATCAGCTAGCCAGTTACCGAATGCTCTCCTGTCATGATTGTTACCTTGTCTAGTTTTATACTTTTGATGTACCATATTTAGCTGTATTTTTATTAAAGGACCACAATACGAAATTATGGTCACTTTGGCCGACAGGGGTTAATAACACCGGAGAGTTACAACAGGAAGTCATATTTGTCAAAATTAAGGCCAATGTGGAATTTCCTCTTGTGGGTTCTTTAACTATCTGTTTCAAAGTAAAATGACGTAGTAGGGAGGAAATTGGGCATTTATTAAAGTTCATTCATTTAATAAATTACATCGCATGTAATAGGTTGAGTTGTTCGTTACTGAACACTCGTTGAAAGAAACTATCAGGGCAAAAATTTTACTTGAGCGATGCAAAAATTTGCAAAATTTAAAGCGCGGACGTGTTTAAAATAGTGTTTTCTCCTCGTTGAGATAGGTTGAGATAAATTTGAACTCATCAAACTATAGACATTTAACTTGGCTTTATGTCTCAAGTAAATTGAACGGTGCTTTTTGGTGTTTTTTTTTCTTCATAAAACGGAGATATTTTGCAGCCTTTATAGTTTTCCGTATACTGCACACGACAATTCCACGACTACTTATATACTTATTTATGCAGATAAGACGATATTTAAACAACACACATTTTCAGTTATTAATTAAAACGAAATCACTTCCTGCCTCAAATAGATACTATAAATGTTTATTGAAGTATCTAATATCAGCTTTGTAGACACGCGATAGATATGTATGTATGTAAATGTATTGTTATTATGTAAATAAAGTGTGTTTTCTATATAAGGCCGTGTACACGTTGTAAAAAGTTAGTTGTTTGAAATATAATAAAGTGTGAGTAAAAACCCAAGATATGGCGATTACAAATGGTCCTTCGAACCGGATATTTAGTCTATTCTCAGTTGTTTAAAGTGATCCCGAGTGTTGTAGACCTTGGTGAGAGATGGATGAACAACGAACAAGTCTGGAAATGTATAATAATGCCTTGGGACTTGGGACACACGATGGTGTTCAAGCAGTTGGAACCGACGAGCTTGTGAATGAACAGTTAAGACGAGCGAGATCGGGAGAAAGAGACGATGTTGCTCAGTTCGGAGCAGTTGGCCAAGACGTGTATCAGAGAGATAAACGGGAAAGAAGGCCTAATATTCGTTTAGACCAAGACGCCGTGAACGCCGAACGAATGTTAAAGTTACAGAGGTCAAGAAGTGGACATCAAGGGCACTTAACAGAGCTGAATAATAAGATAAGTGTTCTTTTATATGATACTTATAATGTTGACTCTGTAAAGGAACTTTTAGAGCTATTTAATAGACAGTGGGAACGGTTTAATCTAGTACATAATGAAGTTTTGTTGTTTGCCGATAATGACCGTTCAACCGTAGCGAGTGCTATGCATGCATACAACGAGCAGTTCGCTAGAAAGACAGAGCTATTAAACAGAGTTATTCAGTATTTACAATCTCACGATAGGGAAAAAACTATACCAGACGGACTTGAGACTAGAAGTAATGCTAGTTTAAGCTCATCTAATTCGTTGTCGTCTGCAAAATCAATAGCAAGTTCGAAATCGCGTGAGATGCGATTAAAGCGAGAAAAAGCTGAGCTATATCTGAAACAGCTATGCGATCGACAAAGTGTTGAGAAAGACGTCGAACGTCGTAAGTTAGAAATGCGTCAAGCTATAGAGCAGCAGAAGTTAGAAGATAAAATTGAGATTGCTAAGCTAGAAGAACGGTATGCTGTCGAAGAAGAACGAAGATTGTATGCAGATGAGAGATTATACGAGCATGCAGATTTTAATGAACGCACTGAAGCGCCTAAATTTGAATATCGTTACGCTTCGCCGGTCAAATTTACGTCATCGGGAACAAAAGGTCAGTTCCACTTCGACGAGCCAAAGCAAAATGCTAAAACTAATCCCGTAATTGACATTAGCGATAGATATACGGGTTCGAATACAATACAACAACTGGCCGAAGCGCTTGCTAATCTATCACATACACCACCAATAGAAATAACGAAGTTTACGGGAGACCCGAAAGATTATCTAAGATTCGTTACTCGGTTTCGCGATCAAGTGCTTTCTCAGCCAATTCAAGAGAGCAAGAAGCTTAGGCGTTTAATGCAATATTTAGATGGTAAAGCGAAAGAGGCTGTCGAGAGGTATGAAGGAATGGGATCTGGCGCCTTGTTAGAAGCCTTGAGTGTCTTGAAAACTCGTTTTGGGCAACCTTACATGATTGTTGACGCATTTATCGTGTCAATTGTGAAAGGCCCAAGCGTTATGAACGGAGATGGAAAAAGCCTTCAGAAGTTAGCTGATAAATGTCAGTCTGTCTTAAAGACCCTCGAATCGATGAAAAGTCTTAATGAAATCAACACTGATCATATGCGAAAGATTGTGTCTCGTTTACCGTACTACAATCAATCTAGATGGAAAGATCGTGCCAATGTCATATTAAGAGAAAGAGGTTCGCCACCGAATTTCCGAGACTTGACAGAATTCCTTCAAAAGAGAGCACAATCCGAGAATAACCCACTATATGGGAACTTAAAAGATTCGGAAAAAGATAATGCCAATCGCATGAAGAAAAGAGAAGAGCCCATTTCAAGTTTCGCAACCCAGTATGGATTCAAACGACCTGGTTCTGCATACGAAAAAAGAGCTCTAGTATGTCATGTTTGTCGAGGCGATCATAACCTTCAGGTGTGCAAGAAATTCCTCAATATGCCAACGGTCGAGAGAAGGAAAGTTGTGCTCGAGTCCAAGTTATGTTTCCAATGTCTTTCAACCGGACATTATAAGAGATTTTGCAAGGAAAGCAGATGTCAAGTCGAAAGCTGTAACAGAAGACACCATGAACTGTTGCATTTGGCTAGTATAAAGGTAGAAAAATCCAAAGTCGATGAAGTGACAAAGCGCGATGCCACCGTTCAGACGAACGCTGCGAATGTCGTTCCACAAGTAAGTCGAGGCACGACAGCGCTTCCAGTCGTGGCAGTTAAGGTTCATGGTGCTGATGGTCGAGAGATAACTACCTACGCCCTGTTAGATCAAGCAAGCGAAGCCTCGTTTATCCATACCAGCTTAGCAAAGAAACTTAATTTGAAGGGTTCGAGAGGTACACTGTCGGTGAAGTCGTTGACTGGAACAATCTCAATTGAAACAGAAAAAGTTAATGTCGTCTTGGAATCAGCAAACCAAGCTAGCCACGGTTCGAGATTACTAGCCAGGGACGTAATCGTTACGGACAGTTTAGACGTGCAGCTGAAAGTCGCACCGACAAGGGATGACGTACGAGCATGGAAACACCTGTCAGACATTGACTTCCCAGAAGTTGAATTGGAGGACATTCTCGTTCTGATCGGTGCTGATAATCCCGAGGTTTTCATAACTCACGAAATCAGAGCAGGTGGCGCGGAGGAGCCTTGGGGATTCAAATACAAGTTGGGATGGGCCTTGATGGGACCAACAAATCGGCCTCAGACAAGTCAAGTTGACGTCCATCTTCTGCAGCGTACAAACGCCGATATGGAAGACATAGCTTTTAAGAACGAAGTGAATCGGTTTTTCTATGAAGATGGTCTTGGTGTGGTAACGAGTATCAAGAAGGCAATGTCCGTCGAAGATAAGAAAGCAGAAAAGATGATGGAAGAATCAGCAGTGATTGTTGATGGACACTATGAAATTGGTCTGTTGTGGAAAACTGAGGATTCTCAACTACCAAACAACCGAGATGTTGCGCTCAAGCGTTTTCGACACCTCCAAAATCGCCTCAAGAAAGACAAAGAGTTACATACGAAATATCAAACCAAAATAGAAGAATACGTTGAGAAAGGCTACGCAAGCAAATTACAACCTGAAGAAACAAACGTTTCCAAGAGAACTTGGTATCTCCCTCACCACCCCGTTTTTCACCCTGCAAAACCCGGCAAAATCCGCATAGTATATGATGCAGCAGCTAAATGCAAAGGAACATCATTAAATGACGAACTTCTCCATGGGCCTAACTTGGCTAACGAGATAATCGAAGTGCTATTGAGGTTTCGCAAAGAAGAAGTAGCTATTTCAGCTGACATCCAAGAAATGTTTCACCAGGTGAAAGTCCCCAAAGAAGATCGAGAATCGTTGAGGTTCCTTTGGTCCTCAAACAACTTAGATGATCCAGAAGAATACCATATGAATGTTCATATGTTCGGAGCTAAAGATTCCCCGTCTATTGCCAACTACGCATTGAAGAAAACGGCGAGAGATAACGCTTGTGACTTTAGTGAAGCAGCAGTGAATGCCGTGGGAAAAGATTTCTACGTGGACGATTTATTGAAATCACTTCCCAACGTTAAAGATGCGAAGCAACTCGCCAGCGACTTAATGAAACTTCTCAGAAGAGGAGGATTCCGTTTAACTAAATGGATAAGTTCAAGCAAGGAGGTCCTAGCTTCTATCCCGGAGTCAGAGCGAGCAAATCCAAAGTTGAATTTAGACCTAGATAACTTACCGATATTACGAGCTCTCGGACTTCAGTGGAACGTTGAAAAAGACGCATTTGAATTCAAAGTGATCGACGTAGATAAGCCAGAGACGAAGAGAGGAATCTTGTCGACCGTCGCTTCATTGTATGATCCGATGGGATTCGCCGCGCCAGTAACATTATTAGCTAAGTCACTACTACAGAAACTTTGGCAAAAGAAAGTTGATTGGGACGAGCAACTTGCTGAAGCCGAATTAGGAGACTGGAGACGGTGGAAGAATGATCTTTCAGCCCTTTCGAAAATCAAGATTCCACGTTGTTACAAGACCACCGAAGCTGCTACCAACAAGGTTAATGATTGTGATATGACAAAGTGCGTCAAGGAAGTCCAACTTCACAACTTTTCTGACGCCAGTGAAATTGGATACGGATCTGCATCGTATCTTCGAACTGAGTTTATCGATGGAAGAATAACGTGTTCACTTGTATTTGGTAAATCTCGCACCGCACCATTGCGAAAGATATCCATACCACGCCTAGAGTTACAAGCTGCGGTATTATCGGTTCGAATCAGCGAGATAATACAGCGTGAAATTGAAATAACATTCAGCAATCATTCAGTATCAGAGCTGTTAGCAAGACACGTCCATTGTAGTAATGCCCATATTGGTCAAGAGCATACCTTGAATATATTACGCCAAAGAGTTTGGATCTGTAATGCTCGTTCCCTGGTTCGGAAGATTATCAACAAATGTTTTGTCTGTAGAAAGGGACACGCTCCAAAGCTCCAACAACAAATGGCACCTTTACCACCATGTCGGGTGATGGCGTACGAACCACCGTTCACTTACGTGGGAATTGACATGTTTGGACCCTTGTTAATAAGACAAGGTCGATCTACGCCTAAAAGATGGGGATGCATTTTTACGTGTATGACCACTCGTGCAATACACCTGGAAGTCGCACCGTCACTAGAAACTGACGATTTCATTAATGTTTTGCGACAATTTATCGCCCGACGTGGAACCCCGAAAGAAATACGAACGGACTGTGGCACGAACTTCCGTGGGGCTGATAAAGAGTTAAAAAGTGCAACGAAAGCTTGGAGTGAAGATCGTCTTGAAGATCAATTATCCCAGCGAGGAATTGACTGGATATTTCACCCACCGAATGCACCGCATTTCTCTGGCGTGTGGGAAAGGCTAATAAGGGAGACAAAACGTGCATTGAAAGCAATCTTAAAGGGGGCCTTGGTAACAGAACATGTACTGCGAACAGTTTTCTGTGAGGTAGAGTCGATACTTAATTCACGTCCTCTAACGAGATCAAGCGAGGATGCAGCTGATGCTACCGCCATTACGCCTGCCCATTTTTTGCTGCAGAGACCAGCAGTTGTTGTTCCCATTGGAGATTTTAACGAAGACTCGATTATTGGTAGAAGAAAGTGGAAGCAAGCTCAAATCCTTTCAAACCACTTCTGGACTAGATGGGTACGAGAATACCTGACTACTTTGCATTTACGTCAGAAATGGTTAAAGCCTCAACGCGATGTTCGTGTTGGAGATTTGGTCCTGGTACATGAAAAAAAGATACCAAGAGGATTGTGGCCTATTGCGATAGTAAGAAGAGTTTTTCCTGGACGAGACAATCGTATAAGAACTGTAGAGATTAAAACAAAGGATACTGTCTTAACCCGACCAATTGTGAACATTAGTCTCTTGGAACAGTGTGATAATTAAATGTTAATCATGTTTGAACGTGTGGTGCTAAACCAGATAAACTTATATAGTTATAATCATGAATGAGTATACTGTGTCGTGTCTTTAGATATTGATGTAGAGATGAGTCGCTTGAGAACTCCTCATCGGCGGGGAGTGTAGACACGCGATAGATATGTATGTATGTAAATGTATTGTTATTATGTAAATAAAGTGTGTTTTCTATATAAGGCCGTGTACACGTTGTAAAAAGTTAGTTGTTTGAAATATAATAAAGTGTGAGTAAAAACCCAAGATATGGCGATTACAAGCTTATATTGCTAAAATTGGTATCTATTTCACTTGCAAAATAAACAAAGCGATTGTTGAGGAAAAGACATGCATTTTGAACTCGATTTTGTCGGTATTTTTTCTTTTTTGTCAAAGCGCGGACGTATTGAAAATTGTGTTTTCTCCTCGTTGAGATAGGCTGAGATAAATTTGAACACACCAAACTATAGACTTTTAACTTGGCTTTATGTCTCAAGTAAAATTGAACGGTGCTTTTTGTGCTTTTTTCATAAAACGGAGATACTGTATCTTGCAGCCTTCGTAGTTTTCCGTATTAACACTGTCACTGCAATATCAACGACTGCAGTCGCACGAAAAGACATTCACGCTGATTTTTTTTGGAGTGTCGGCGACAGTTATACCAATAATAGAAATCAAATCAATTGGTAAAAAATATTTTACAATGAACTTTCAATGGATTCCAAGCAGGCGGCTGATTAACACAAACACGCGGTTATATATTTAAGTTTTCAAATTGTCGAGCAAATTGTAGTTGTTTTTTCAAATTCTAGCTGTTTTAAATGCATCCATAGTTCATTTTGGGCTATATGATTATTGAAAAATAGTAACCAAGCAATGTCAGATATTCTTACTGTGAAAATGTTTATCCTACCTTCGCATTATGAAGTAAAATATCGCATTTCATATCCAAATTTTCGTATTTGGAATATGCCCACATTCGATCCGCTTGATTCCTTTTCAAATTTTTATTTCGCTCATGATGAATCTTTAACGCCCTTTTTCCTTCATCAGATATACAGAAAATGAATCCAACGATATTTTCAAACCATCAAGTTGTTTAGAAATGCAGAAAACATTTTTTTTTCACTTTGGTTTTTTCAGCTCTTTTTTGCAGATAAACATTCCAATTCCATATTTATTAAATTGACATTAAAATTAATGTAGACGTGAGGGGGTACGCGTATCACACACAGATCAGGGGCGCTAACTCCGTTTTATAGCGCCCTGGTCTCAATGCACTCCATGTTCGACCACATGTTTCAGGCTCTTCAGACCTTAGGGCGACCAACCCTCTTTCTCTGATGAGTCCAGATGTTTGCAGAGTTTCTTAATTTGCAAAGCGAACATTTCTGCACATATGGCATCCATCAGATGACATTGATTTCCCACAGTGTTTGCACTCGACCATCCTTTTGGTATGATGCTTTTACTGGCCATGTTTGCTTCAAATGATCAAAAATCAGAAAAGGTCAGAGCTTTTATAGATTTTCAGATTGTTACATTTTTTGGTTACATAACAATGTGCCATGTATCAACAAACTTTCCCCATACTTAAAAGTCTGTAGGAATGTTTGCATTGATTGTTTGTTTGAAGAATCCGTGTTCAACGCATGCGTACCAAACCTTTTCGACAAATTCCTGATTGGTAACTATTTTAACGTCATTGTAAAAAGGAAATCCGTTTCTTTCCAATTCTTCATCGGTCACTTCGTATAAGATTTTATCGCTCAAACTAGATCTACACATATTAGGGCCATTTATACGGAACAAAATAAGTCGCGGCTTACATAAGACGCGACTTAAATAAGCGGAGTTATCGCATAAATGGTTCTCTCCGGCTTTGGTCTTATTTATTTGCTATAGCTATAATGTTGTTTTGGTTGTTTTTGTTTTAATATGCAAGGCTAATAATTTTACGTTGTTTCTAGTTTCTGACATGTGTAGTCAGACTTTTTGCCCAAAATTTCTTATTTAAGACGCGACTTAAATAAGAACAGCTAAAAGGCCTTTGGTGTACCTTTTGTACGACAAACTCGCGTCTTATGTAAGTCGCGTCTTATTTTGTTCCGTATAAATGGCCCTATTGAGACGAAGCACAAGCTTTTCTTTAGCGAAAAATACTACGTCGATAGTCATGCTGACGCTGTCCAACAATGAATGAAATATGTAGAGGCATCGTGCCTTTTATAGGTTACAATATCTGAAAGATCACGTGTTTCAATGCTTGTCTGTGTTTCACGCAAAAGATAGTATTCCAGTCGTCCGCCGTTTACTCAATTAATTCGAAGTCGTGTACTTTCATACCGTTTAAACTTTCTGTAAAACCCCCCATCACTTTTTTTTCCGAAGCCTTTCCCAGAGAATGATCAAAGTATAAACATAACCGTTCGTCCCTTTCCATCGTAAGACACTGATGATGCGTTCGGGACAGATGTTCTGGCATGCAACCGTTTCAATTTTTAACAACGAGCTGTGAGATGATAGGAGCGATTTCTTCAGCTGCAACTTTTAAAAGTTTCTTGACAATAAGCTTTTGACATTGATGAAGAATGAATTCCTTATTATCAATATCCATAGGTTTAGACATGTTTACTCTTTGTCTGATCGAAAGTAATGACTGTTTCTTCCCAATGGAAAAAACGTTCTATACGTGCGTGCACCTTTAACCCTATTTGCACCGGGGAGGGCACAATGAGCGCACCCTTAGAAATATTTATCCGTCATTCCTAAACAAATGATCCCATTTGCCTGTGCTTTCATGACTTTTAATATTTTTCCTCTGCCGTCATGACTGCGAAAATTTTTTCTGAAAATTAAAAGTTATCCGGACGTTTGCCGACATTTGTCAAACAAGGTGTCGAGGCCAAAAATGGGAAATGTGGGTGGCTAAATCACTTCCCAATTGATAAATAACATAATTTAATTAGAAAACATATAAAGATGGATTATTAAACATGATTTGCAAAGTAAAATATCCATAATATATTATATAAAATAGTAAAATATAGTATAACATATAATATGGCATATTATACAATACTTATATAACATAAAATACTTATTTATAATATTTATATATGTATTCAAATGCACATATTTCTTTGTACCTTCAAGGCATAACATCTCCCTGTCTTTGAGCAAGCACCAAACGCGTAGAATGCATTATATATTGAACACTTTCGTACAAGAAATTTTCCAATTGAGAGTAAGACTTTTGCATAAAGTTCAGACTGATTGCCATGATTTTCAAAGTAAATATTGTGTTTTCAAAACTATACTGCAGGCTCGTAGCACGTAGTTCACCTGCCTTACACTTGATGTAACACATGGTATATTGTTATAAAACATGGCTGCCATTTCGTATTTTTTCCACAAACTTTAGTTGGTCGACTTCAGTGCAACGTTTTATGTTTACACTAAAGAAGTTATGACAACAAAATTAAAAGTGCTAGAGTTTCAACAGAACGCCCAATTGCCACACATTATTTCAACAATGACACTGTCACAGTGATATGAAGGTAAAATCAGTGATGTTGAAACTTGAAAATGATTTGGATAGTTTATATGAGATAGGTAAGTTTCAGTTGCATGTCTTTTCATATGGCACAGAAATGCCAACTTGAAAAGTAAAATAGTGGTGTTTATGGACATCAGAGACATGCTATAACATAAAAGTATGTCTTTTGAATGTAAAAAGCCCAAAAACATCACATCAAAAATGTTTTGTTATATCTTTACAAAATATAATAAAAATGGGTAAAATATTAGCTATATTCGCCATTTTTGGATAGGTGGTCATATTCGATGGGGCCAAAAACCAGCATTTTGGATGTGAATTTAACTTTTTTGTTATTTTTAGGTTAAAGAAAGATAAAACTTACTCAAAATAAAACTGATAGGATAATGAGAGTTAATCGACAGAATTTCTCAAGGGTGCGGCCTATCAGCGCACTCCCGGTCATATCAACATGAAAACCCCCGGTACAAATAGAGTGTCCCATGACGTACACTTGAATATGAGAAGATATTTAAAAATTTCTTCTCATATTCAAGTGCACGTCATGGGACACTCTGCCAGTAAGAATTCGAAGATCAATAAAAATCATAACAAACAGAAAATGTTTAGAATCGGTATAAGTGCAGGACAAAATGATCTTAATTGTGGGATACCGTAGTAAAACCGTCAAAAGTTACAACCCCGTTTAAAAGACCCAGGAGAATAGTATTCAAAACGTTGAAAAACAAGACTGTTCCCACGCTGGTCGAAGCTTTCAAAGTAATTTTAACGTCTGGACGCAAACCCGAAAAGATCATGACCGATCAAGGCACAGAGTTTCTAAACAGATATTTTCGAGCGCTGATGAAAGAAGAAGACATCGAGCTGTGCAACACGTACAATGAAACGAAAGCTTCTATCGTGGAACGTCTGATTCGCACTCTAAAAACGAAAATGTGGCGCTTTTTTACAGCCAAGAAAATCATGCGATACGTAGACATGTTACCAGACCTGGTCAATTCTTACAATCACAGTGTTCACCGTAGCGTTAAAACAAAACCAGTGGACGTTACTGGTGAGGATGAGAAGAAGGTGAGGCACACTCGGTATGATGATCATAACGTCGTGAAAAATGTAAAGTACAAGTTTAAGGTCGGTGATCAAGTGAGAATTAGCAATATGAAACGAACATTCGAGAAAGGATACTTGCCGAATTTCTCAAAAGAGATCGTCACTATAAGCAAGCAAATACCTCATGATCCTCCATTGTACAAAGTAAACCATCTGGACGGCAAAGAACTCAAAGGAACATTTTACGAAAAGGAGCTGCAAAAGATGACGTCCACGAAATTGAGAAAATCTTGAAGAAACGTGGACGAGGCAATATCGTACATTATCTTGCAAAATGCTTAGGGTACCACAATAAATTTAATTCGTCGGTACCCGCTTCTTAAATAAATAAGATTTAAAGCGTTGAACGTGCTGTTTGTTTGTTTTTCTCATCTGGGATTCATTATGAGCGGAACACATTTTTACTTCACGCTTCCGAGCAATGCGTCCCTGGACATTTTCCCTGATAACAAAACGACTTAATATCGTGCAAAATTACCGCAGCCTATTGAATTAGATGATAATAGGGAACTTGGACTGTATTCAATTTCTTATCCCACACTTGGTATACTCTGCGGGATGTTGCAGACCATCTATACTTTTATTACGACGGTACCGGAAATAATGGCAAGGGATTTTTCCTAGTGCATTTGTCGATTACGGGCACTATGAAATGTACAATACCTTCTCAAAAACACGAATGCCTCTTTAATTTAATAAAAAATATCGGCAATCACTGCATAAACTTAACGTACAGCACTCGAACAGGAAAAGTGAGCGTTCATTTGGGAGCCAATTGCAAGATTGGTTTATTGAAAAAATTGTCTCTCATGTTGGGGTACGGTGGAAAAGAGGTAAAAATTGACAAAATAGGGGGGGGGGGGAAATCCTCACGTGGTAGATTTGAATATCTTTTCGTCGATCTACACATACTGCAATATCGTTCAGCCGCAGATCGTTGGAGTTACGAGCGCGCAATTACTTCGAAGCATTTCCGTCGAAGAAAAGTATGGCGACATCATTACGAAAACGTTCACCAACATACAATACGTACCTGTTCAAATGAAATCCTTTCAAAATTCTTTTAAGGATTGATACGGATGCCATTTAAACGTGGGAAGGTGATAGCGACACTAAATTTCAGACAGCATACATACCTCAATTGAGAAAGATTAATAATCCGTACATACGTTATTATGTGGATTAACAGCAAGGGCGTGGCATGCCCGTGTTCAGGGGCAGACCTTGGCAGGTCGGGGATATGGGCAACAGACAAGGTACGGCCTGGGGAGCCTGTTCCGCAGCATGACACGAACAGTGATGTCCATGGTGAAACGTGGAGCAAAAGCTCTTGGAAACATCGCCCTAAAAAGTGAAGCCGATTTTGTGGGCGATGTTCTCACCGGTAGTTCTCGAGGTTAAAACCATGAACCACGTACATTCCAAATCGCAAGAATGTACACTCGATATATTCTCAGTGCCCCTAACACAGGTCAGTTTAGAGAAACGACACTGGGTAGATCTCCAACCTATCTCCAGTGTGGCTGATGGTAATGTCATTACGTTCCTGTCTCCAGGCACTGAAGATTATGTTGACCTTGCTAGAACGATTCTCGTGGTGAGAGCGAAAGTAACAGAAGCCGATGATACGGATCTCGGCGCAGACGAAAAGGTATGGTATTTTCCCAGTGAATACAAAACGCTGTTTCCGAATATTAATTTCTTCTAATCTGTTTAATTTAAGGTTGGAGTGGTGAACAATTTCCTCCACAGCCTGTTCAAACATGTGGATGTCTTCTTGAAAGAGAAACAAGTCACACAGTCTACCAGAACCTATGCGTAGAGTGCTTACTTGGAAACCCTCTTTAAATATTGTTCCTGCGCAAAAGATTCACTGCTCACTGCTGCTTTATATTACAAATACACTGCAGGAAAAATGAATGTCGCAGATCCTACCACGGTTGGTGCAGCAGACAATGCAAGTTCTCAGAGAAAGATACGTTTTCAGCAAAGCAAATGGAACTGTTGAAATGACCGGCCCCATACTCAGCGACATATTCATGTCCAAACGTTCCCTGCTGAGTTACGTAGATCTGAAAGTTATTTTGAATCGAAGCAGCGACGAGTTCTGTTTGATGGCCTCCGAGGACGGTGCCGATTACCGGGTGAAACTCACCGATGCTTATCTCAAGATACGTAAAGTGAAAGTCAACCCGAGCATTTCCGTGGCCCATGAAATCGCGTTGAAAAAGGAACCGACCATCTATCCTATTCCTCGCGTCGAATGCAAGAACTTCATCGTTTCTGCAGGAAATCCCTCTCTGAGGAAAGATAACCTTTTCAATGGACTGGTGCCGAAAACGTTTGTCTTCGGATTAGTTCAAAGCAAAGTGTTTAACGGTGCTCTGAAAAGGAATCCGTACAATTTTCAACATTTCAGCGTGTCTTCCATTGGAATAACAATCAACGGAGAAGAAATGCCTTTTAAACCCTTGCAGCTTTCCTATGGTGCGGCACCTAAATACATCGAAGCATTCAGCACCCTGTTTTCTGGTACAGGGAGAATGTACTGCCGCACAGGAAACGATATATCTCGAGAAGGATTCCTTGACAGTTACGGACATGCGCCCGAGTACTACAGGAAATCGTTTGGAGACCTTTTAAAGTCTCACGCATGGGATTTTAATAGACGTAAATTGCAGAGTGCTTTGTCGAATGTATGTGACCACAGAGCAAGAGGTCAGAGCATGAGTAATATCGTACATTTATTTAACAATGATACAATTTTAAATGACACAAAAGTATCCCAGTTTGTTAACAGGCATTTCAAGGTATTGTTAAAACATTCCAAAGTTAACCTTAATCAGTTCAGTAAAAAGATGTTTTGAATAAAATTGTTGTAAAAAAGTATAGTGTATTTTTATCCTGCGCATGCGCACAAAATCTCATCCCACATGCGAACCGCATATGTTAATGAATGTGCATAAAAATACTCCTACAAGGAACCGTCATCAATACAAAATTGGTTTTAAAACATTTTTATTAATGCATGCAAAGAGTTACAACATTTTAATAATTAACCTATTTTTGGGATTTCGCCGTCTGTTTTCTTATAAAGTTACGGAATATTCCGCGGGACTTACACGCGGTGATACTGACAGTGGTTGCCCCGGAGGTGTCTGGAAAACAACTAGTTCATCCATTTCAACTTCCTTCCATATTTCCGTGTTTCTTGCAATATCATTGGGCATATTAATCTTTGACAATCCGCGAAAACTTAGGATTAAAATTCTTACGTGCCCGCATGGAATCACTGACCAAATCCGATATATTTGAATCAGGAATCTCTTTACCATCCACTTCAACTTGCCCGGATTCATCCCAGGCAAAAACGTCGGATCTTGCTTTCACACAATTCAAAAGAGTTGCTGCTTTCGGGCGCAGAGTTACAGGTAAATGACCGATCACGTCCGCGTCAGATAAAGATGCTTTCTCTTTGGACTTCTATTCCGCATTCTGTGCAATCCGGACAGTAGGTGTTTGATCGTCCTTCTGTAGCCTCAAACTCAGATAACTTTCCATATTCGCATTGTACATTTTCTCTTTCTCGACATCGGACATGTCTGTACTCTGAAGAATCTCTGACAACGCCGTATCCTGATGCATCATATTAGATCTAATTGGGGAAGTTTCAATCTTTTGTTTCCGCTCATGACGATTAAGCACGTCCTCCGGGACCAATACCATGCGTTTCGCATGCATCATACTAACAAACTTCCGAGTACACTCACCACTGACGGCCGGTGACCGTTCTTGACTTAACTAACAGCGTTGAATCTCAACAAATCAAGCTCGAATATAAACTCTCCGAAGTCTACTTTATGTTTAAAGAGTTTATAGAATGCAGTAGCGATGGAAAGGTGAAATGGCTGGGCAATTTGAATGATTTAAAAGCGTTTATGTCCGCGCTATTCGGCGATGTCGGCAAGTGGAGTTCGCCTGGTGGCGGTGCTAAATCATATCGGAATGATTTAATATCTATTAACTGGTATATACACAAGAAAGCACTAATCTTCCATGATCAACTAGGAATTGTATTAAAGAACAAACTAATTGATCTGAGTGTAAATAAAATATCAGATCCTGACAAATACAATCAATTAAACGATCCAGAAGGTGACAAAGATTGCATGGTTTGCAGTCGTTTCTCGTTAGATGTGATGGAAATAAAGTCAGACCTCAAACAAATGAGTACATTAATGAAACATTTTTATCGCGAATCTACTCCAGCCAAGCGCTGTTCCACCGATCATCTTTCTAGTGTAAATACATGTGAAGTGGGCATTCAGACGGATATCGAATTCACTCAATATCCTAACCAGAGCGGAGAGCGTTGTGCAAGCAGGTGTAATGGATTGTCGACTGAATTCGAGGGCTTAAAACTCGATTTGGTGATCTCCGAGTCGAAGATTGATAACAAAATTCGAATCAATGTCGATGCAATAAATCAAGTTCAGGCAGAATTCGCCATTATTCAAAAATCAGCTCGGCGAAGTTGTTCAACAGGTCGAACGCTTAGTTAACACAAACGAGAACATCAACACCAATAACAATAACATTGCATAAAGTATTGTTAGAACGGCTAATGAGAACAATGGTCTTATCAATACTATCGAAACACTATGCAAAGGGCTGAAAACTATGATAGCCTTGTGTAATGAAAATTTTGTTAATCACTCAGATCAACCAAGCGTCCCGCCAACTTCAACACTTGACCGAACTAACATCACCCCGTCAACAACAGAACCTAATCAACAACAGCATCAAAGCCTAAATCCTTTTGAAGTTTGTAACTTTCAGGTCGAATCATGTATAGAATCTTTTGTCACAGTTGAGAAAGCCAGTATAACATCAGAGGCTCTTAGCCATAATATCAACCTATCCAATTCCTATCCCAATGTCATATCCATTTTGGATGATCAACAAGCCGGCTTATCCTCACCTAATGGAAATTCCACCACAGTCGATGAGATTGGTACAGGCATCGACCAAAATTACAGTCCGTCGAATATGCCCCCATCGTTTGATGATCAATTGAAGGAATATCGTACTAAGCACTCTCACACCGACAGAATGATAGATGTCCTTGATAATTCTGGAATAACACACCAAAAAACTACAAGGAAATCAACACGAACCGGCAAAAACACCAGATCTAGTCAAGTCAAATCGAAGCGATGCGATTCTATGCCACACCCCTTATCACATATAGATACCTCTGTATTTAACCGAAAAAAATTTCGGAAGAATTGCTCTTCAAATAGGCCACCGGACTGGGGAAACTACCTGATCTTTGTAAACAAATTAAAGCAGAAAACAGAATTAGAAGAATCGACAAGAATTTAAGATCGAACATTGTTACTATTAATGCCAAGTCCACTTTTAATATGCCTATTAAATAATCCCCAATCGTCGTATACACAAACCTCATACCAGAATCCCAATGGGTAATCGTACGCGAAATGTTCATAACCTAATTCGCGTTAAAATAATCAAAAATGATTGCGCGTCCTTAAAACATTTAGTCCCGTCAATTCTGTTATCCAATACGATCTCGCTTGCTCCAAAAATTGACGAAATCGCTTATACCATCAAAACCGTTGATGCCGATTTTGCCCTATTCACTGAAACTTGGTTGCGTGATACCGTTCCTGATATTTCTATTAATATCAAACATTATCAACATTATAGAAGAGACCGTGCCAACCGGCTTCATGGAGGCGTATGTATGTACGTAAAAGATTCAATACATTGTAAGATCTTAGCAGACATAAATCACAGTGATCATGAAGTTCTTTGGGCTAATCTTCGACCAAAACGCTTACCACGTGGTATCTCAAATATCATAGTAGCTGTAGTATATCAACCTCAAGCTGCGGACGACGCCACTATGAAAGACTACCTTAATTATATCGTCCTTGGAGATCTTAGAGATAAAATACCCTTTTTGCGCAATCGTACTAGCTGGAGACTTCAACAAAACGCTCCTCCCCTTGCTCCAGTCTGCTGTGAAAGTCTTTCAACTTAAACCGGTCGTTGACTTCCCTACTAGAGGAGATAGAACTCTTGACCAAATTTTTACCAACCTTACAGAGTATTTTTCACCCCCGTGTAGTTTACCAGCATTTGGTCTTTCGGACCATCAAACTATATTTATCTCGGCTAGAATTCGTGATAAAACCTCCAACGACGAGAGATAAACGACCCAGTAAAATAGCAAGTGTTGGTCGGTTTCTTCAACAAGTACCTTGGTCTGACTTGTTCTCCCCAGCTCAGTCAAGTGAAGATAAACTTAACATCCTTACAGATATAATAAATTTTGGCCTAAATACCATCATGCCCGTGTCAACCATCAAGATACATGAATCAGATCGGCCCCGTATGAACACTAATCTAAAACAGCTCATCTCTCGTCGCCAAAAAGCTTTTACATCTGGTAACAATCCTCTCTACAAAATTCTAAGAAACAAAGTCAACCCAGCATGCAAACGCTGCAGAAAATCCTACTACGTTAACAAAGTTAAAGGTGTACGAAATTCCAAGCCCTGTGACTGGTGGAGAGAAGTTAAACAGATTTGCGGCGCCAGTAAAATCCCAAAACGGGACCTAACCTCATTACTCCATCCAAACCTTGTCCGTGATAAGGTATCTCTGGCTGAAAACATCAATTCGGCGTTTGTCAACATAGTGAATGATTATTTACCTCTGTCAGATTGTATACGTGTAGAAACGGCTGATGATCGACCAATATCTGTCACTGAACACTCTGTCGCAAGAAAGCTTTTAGAGCTAAATGCTTCTCGTGCCAGTTGTCCCGACAACCTCCCTAACTGGGTACTTCAACATTTTGCGTATATTCTAGCGGCCCCATTTTGCTGATATCCTAAATACTTCGTTCTTGGAATGTAAAGTTCCTGATGCATGGAAACTTGCCAATGTCTGTCCTCTGCCTAAGGCATCTTCTATCTGCAACATCAATGAGGATTTAAGACCAATCTCTCTAACACCCACCCTTTCAAAAGTTGCTGAGAGCTTCATCATAGGCATTGCGTTGAAACCTGTTCTACTACCTATTATTGACCCAGGCCAATTTGGGTTCATTCCAGGATCGTCAACTACTCTAGCACTAATCTCTATGTTCCACCATTGTTTACGAGCTGCTGGCGGCAATGCATCCACTGTAAAAACCATACTTTTAGATTTCCGCAAAGCTTTTGACCTCGTGGACCACAATATTTTAGTCGCCAAACTGTTTAGTATAGGCGTAAAACCCACGGCCGTCAGTTGGATAATTGATTTCCTAAGACATAGAAAGCAGAGGGTTAAACTAAACAATATCGTTTCCGATTGGCTTGACGTTCCAGCAGGAGAGCCTCAAGGAACTCGTCTTGGTCCCTGGTTGTTTTTAGTACTAATCAATGATCTTAAGCTACCTCAGGAATCCTTACCTATGCGGAAATTCGCCGATGATTGCACAATCTCTGAGGTGATACCACCCTCCAAGCAAAGCTCTCTTCATCAAGCTGTTGACTATATCGATGCATGGTCTCAAGAAAATCGATTACAATTGAAACCAACTAAGTGTAAAGAAGTACGATCATGTTTCAAGAGAAACCCTCCATCATTCCCTTTAGCCGAACTGAATGATTTCCAGTTAGAAAGAGTTAGCGTGGCCAAAATTCTTGGCGTAACAATCCGGGACGATTTTAAGTGGAGCGACCATATCGGTATTGTCACCGTAAAAGCCGCAAAACGACTGTATCTTTTGAGACAATTAAAAAGAACCGGGATCTGTCCAAAAGATCTTATCACTTTTTACTGTAGTGCCATCAGATCACTTCTGGAATATTCGTGCCAGTTGTTTCATCGGAGTCTCCCTAACTATCTGTCAAATGAACTTGAGAGTATCCAAAGGCGCGCTATGTGTATCATCCTCCGGACTCGAAATATGCTGACGCGCTTTAAGACGCCGGCATTTCCACTCTCTTCGAAAGACGAGCCCAACTATCAAGTCATCTTTTTGAACATATTGGTAATAAACCAAATGATAAGCTCAGTGGCCTACTTCCACCGCAAGCACATCATCATAACGATTTAAGGAGTGAACGAAGGTTTAAAGTACCTGTTAGTAAGACAGATCGTTTTAAAAAACTTTTATTATTAGTCATAGCTCAAAAATATAAATTTTAACAACAATTAATCTAGGTGATAAATTGACTTACTCAGTTACTTTTGTTTTTAATTATTCAAAATTGTTGTAATAATGTATAAAACTCAATTGTTGTAAATATTCACATAATTTAGTCTATGACTGCTAAGTGTTTTATTTGAATAAACGAATCTAAACGAAAAAAGAGAGCTGGTAATAAATTTCCACCTTTTCGATTAAGGCGTTGTTTTTTTCATTTTCCGGATATTTTCTTACTCGCTAGATCACCGAGATGTGTCTTGTAACGTGCTAAACGTCTCTTTTGATGAGGTGATATTGGGATGACACCTTTGAGCAAATTCAAGGAACACTCTCACATAGCTGTGATGACCTCCGCTGGAACGTTGTTGATCATGGATTTACGTAGTTTAGGTCCACATTTCCCCATGACCTGAAGATACGGCAGACTTCCTTTCATGCGCTTCAACATCTTGAAAATGATACGTTTTCACCGAATGTGTTAAAAACAATGTGCATCTCATTACACTGCACTCAAACGAATATTTGACATGATGAGTATTTTTCTCAAGTCAACATTATTTTCCCAAAGCTCGACTAGTACCAGCTCTATTGCAATAGCAAATGAACACATAGTGTAAAATGTTTCATTTATATATATATATATATATATATATATATATATATATATATATATATATATATATATATATATATATATATATATATATATATATATATATATATATATATATTGGCAGATCTCAGAGTTATTATTATTGACAAAACAAATATGAATGATCCTACGCAAAGAGAGGCATTTTGGGCATATAATTTGGACACGTTTGCACCTAAGGGATTAAATGTAAGGGATTTTTGGTAATTTATGTTAATGAATTGAATAGGATACAAAAGCATGTACATCAAACTCTGTTATTTATCCTTGATAAAGGGGCATGCTCCGAAACGTAGGAAAAGAATAAAGTCTTAAAAAAGTTCGTTTTGTGATTTACTTACTTTGGTGATTTATATATATATATATATATATATATATATATA